TTTAAAATATATTTGTTTTATCAAATGGTTCAACTATAGACAATCATATTTGACTGGATGGTCTTTTAAAAAAACAGAATAGTATATTATAAAAAAAAATCAATTGATAAATCCATAGATAATACTTTTGATTTTTAAATAATTTACTACAGATAATTATATATGGTATTTATTTTCATTAATGAAATTTCTTTCAACTAAGCAAAAAAATGAAAGGAATCGATTGACGTAAACACGAAACAAACCAAACAAAATAGTAATAATAAAAATGCTGAATATGATTTTTCGGCGCCTTTTTTGATTGTAGGCCAGTCAAAACAAATTTCTATATTTGCATATAGTCCGATTAATAAATGTCACATGTCATTTAAAATTAATGTGAATAAAAGATTCTTTTACCATCTATGATCTCACGATAATCTAAGTACAGTAAAATATATTATTTAATCAGGTTTATAATAAACAGATAAAAAAATTTTTTTCTTACCATCTGTTTTGTCAATTTCATGTTTTTTCCTAATTAGGCATACCAATGGTCAGATTGTTATCGTTATATTAATTAATAAACGAAACCATTTTATGAGTTAGTTTATCACAAAACAAGGTAATACTTACAAGGAATTCTCCGAAACATTATTGGAATTGAGTTCTATAATGGTTTAATTTAATAATAATAATTTACGTAGTTTTAAATGCGGAGTTTATTGAAAATAAAATAAATAAATTTACCTAAAATTTCTTTGGCATTGGATGAATCAGATAAAATGGTCTTCGAAAAATTGATTTGAGAATCCAATGATCTACTAGAATAAACTGATTTCGGATGTTCGAATCTCGGTTTTTCTACAAACGGAATTCCAAATTTTACCATTTCTTCACGTTTTTCCTCCGCTGCTTGAAGTTCATCGGGATCTAGATTTTCTCTTATTTCTTCAATTGTTGGTCGTCTTAAGGGATCAGAATCCCAACATTTTTTCATTATATTTGTCCAACAATCTGGTGTATCTTTAGTAATCTCTGGTCTAGATCCTTTAAGTATATCTACAATAAGGTAATGATCATGCGCCCTATCATGGAATGGTTGGTGACCAGACGTGAGCTCCCACATAATCATTCCCAAACTATATATATCAGACTGAGTCGAATATTTTCCATAAAAATACTCGGGTGCCAAATAAGGAATCACTCCATAAATTGAGTTTGGGTTTAACTTTTTATTTACGGGTTGGCATAACCCCAAATCGCTAATCAATGGGAATATACCTTTTCTTTTTTTGGTCGATATCAATATATTTTTGCTGTGAAGATCCCGATGCACAATACCTTGTCGATGAATCTCATTGATAGACTCTAAGAGTGAGAGTATAACCTTTTTTTTGAAGTTCCAATTTGCTTTGTTATGAAATCTGTCTTTCAAGAATTCTCTCAAGCTCCCATTATTTGCATATTGCATAATAAGAATGTAGTTTTGGCTTTTTGGATCTTGTGAAACTCCGTAGCATTTAACTATATGACGATATCCTAAGTCGCTTGATTTAAATTTATATAAATTCTCTAACTGTAAACCAAATTAATAATTAATAATTTGTAGGCAAATGAAAAATGGGCATAAGCATTAATAAAATAAATGCATACTTCATTTAGAAATTTTGAATCCATATCTTTTGAATTTTTAAGAACTTTCAACGCTACTTCCACAGGACCGGAACGAACTACTTCTCCAGTTTGTGGAATCCAACGTTTAATATGTCCTCTGTGCCAGGTCGCTTTGCAAACCTTACTATATCCACCAGATCCAATGTCCTCACCAATCTCAAAATCTTCATATGATATCCATTCCAAAATGCGTCTTCCTTCATTTTCCGATGATTTTATGAGGAAGTTATTAATATCTTGATTATTACTTTTTGGAAATAATTCTGCAAAAGAACAAAGCCTGCAAATTTTCTTGAGCAAGTCCGCGTAATGTCTTTTTTTCTTGCAGTTAGAACATACTCCTTTTTGAGGCTCTACCTGAATTTCTATAGGTCCTAATAACACTTTCATTAGAATATTAAAAGGTTTTTTTTAATAATTAATCAAAAATAAAAGCTATATTTTATAATGTTCTAATAGACAATCGTTGTCCGAAATCTATTACATATGAGGTTTTTAAAAATTTACAAAGTTTAATGTATTTAAAATGTTACCTGGATGTTTCATAGCTTTGGACGAATCTCCTGAATTTTGAATAGCATTTGCAATCTCTATAATGGTATTTAATGGTCTAGTATGATACACAGATTTTGGATGATTTTGTTCTGCTTCCTTTAAAAATGATATCATTTTTTTGCGTTTTTCTTCTGCCTTTTGGAATTGGTGATAGTCATTCGCGTAAAAGTTTCTTGTGGCTTGTTCTATTACTTCTATTCCGGGTCGATTTAAAGGATTCGAATCCCAACATCTTTGCATCAAACTTTTCCAATAATCGGGCGTGTCTTCAGTAATCTCAGGTCTTAATCCATCCCATATATCTAGGATAAGATGTTCATCATGTGCTCTATTATAAAATGGCTGATGGCCAGATGTAAGTTCCCACATTATCATGCCTAAACTGTATATGTTAGACTGTAATGAAAATGGATTTCCTTTTAAAATCTCGGGCGCAATGTAGGGTATGATTCCGTAAATTTCAGAACAGTTTAACCCTCTTGTAGCTCGATTAAATCCTAAATCAATTAAAACTGCAGGATTTGGTTTTCGTCCTTTTACCACAAACAAATTACCGCTATGTAAATTCCAACGAATTATATTCCATTTGTGAATTGTCATAATTCGTAAAGCGATACTATTTAGAATCATTCTTTTGTTAAACCAAGTCATTTTAATGAAGTTAGCTTGCAAGTAAGCACTTAAATCAAGTCTATGCTCCGTAACAAGGATATGGTTCATAGATGTAGGATCTTGCGAAATTCCGTAACATCTAATTATGCCCGCATGCTTCTTAAAAATCAAGGATTCCGACTTCGGTCAAAACATGTTAGTAAGTGTATATAGAAAATACAGCATATCGAGAGTTTGAATGATATTTTACCTTTATTAAAAATTCAGGATCAAGATTTTCAGATTCATTAAGAATCCTTAGTGCTACTGTCTTACTATACCAGGTCGCTTTATAAACTTGACTTGATCTGCCTTGACCAATTTCTTCTATATTCGAAAATTCCTTGTACGGTATCAATTTAGAAAAAACTTCTGTTTGTTCGAAATTCGTCGATTCACTTTCTTGTTGACATTCCAAACCCGTTTTGATTTGATACTCAGGAGTTCCTTTAACCCAGGGTGAATCAAGTGGCATTGTACCAATTTCCATATTTATATGATAAAGAATAGGTCAATATTAGAGTTATGTGATGTCGCATGCAATATTAAAATCTTACCTATAAATCGAGTATTACTAAGATCTCTTGAATTTAAAGTAGATCTAGCAGACTCTATAATGGAATCCAATAATTTGCTATAATATATTGAATCCGAATAATGCTCCTTCATAAACGGAGCACCACTTTCAATTATCTTTTTGCGTGCTTCTTCGGCCTCTTTAAACTGTTGGTAATAGTTGCTCTTCCATTCTTCGACCATTCTCATAATTTCTTTTATTTCAGGTCTATTTGAAGGTTCCGAATCCCAACACCTGCGCATTAAACTTGCCCAACACTCGGGTGTATCTTTGGTAATCTCCGGCCTTAGTCCATCGCATATGTCTACAATAAGATCTTGGTCGTATGTTCTATCCCGGAATGGTTGATTTCCAGACGTAAGTTCCCACATAATGATGCCTAGACTATATATATTAGACTGAGCTGAAATCGATATTCCCTTTAATACTTCAAGCGCAATATAAGGTATGACTCCGTAAATTCTTGATTTGTTATTCATTGGAAATTCTAAATCGTCGATTAACGAGAACTCTGAATTTAATAATATATTGCCACTATGTAAATTCCGATGAATACAATTCTTTCCGTGTATTAAATTGATGGCATTCACAATATTGTTTAGAATGTTTATCTTATCGAACCAAGTTATTGTACTGAAATTGGTCTGTAAATATTTCTTCAAATCGCCATGGTTCGCGTAACTTGTGACAAAAATATATTTTTTATACACAGGATCTTGCGAAATTCCGTAAACATTAATTATGTATTTTTTGTCTCTTGAGGAACATCTAAGTCTATTTAAAAATTGTTGCTGTAAAAATGTTAGCGAATGAATGAATAGATAATGATTATAAGCAAATTTCGAGTGTTTAAATACCTCGTTCAAAAATTCCGAGTTCATTTCCTGAGATTCATTAAGAACCTTTAATGCTACGGTTTCCGGTGGATATCGAGTAAAATTTCCATTCCTATACCAGACGCAAATGCGCCCTCTATTCCATGTTGCCTTATAAACTTGACTAAATCCTCCTTGTCCAATTTTTTTAACATTTGAAAGCTCCTCGTACGGTATAAATTCCAAGAAAGGATACCTTCTCCGTACTGCAAATCTTATTAAGAAGTCATCAATACCCGAGTTGTCACTTTTTCTTAGAAAAGACTCTCGAAAATAACAAAATCCACATGATTTTTTATCCCCAAATCTATCCCGTTTCTTCACCGTCTTCTGACAGCCTGGGCATCTAACTGGGTATCCTTTTCCAATAACTTCCATTTATTTCGAAACGAAGTCGAGAAATGATAATAATAAACTATCTTGTTTGTTTTTACTTTTGTCATATTTTGACCCTTTTTTATATCAAACATTTTAGAATATTTTACTAATGTATACAGTACTGTATCAAAACAACTAACCGACTCTAAAACAGCCATTTAGATCTCGTTTAGAATGAAATCTTTAATCCTTGATTTACAACCTTTTATAGATAAATTGCAAATAATGAATGGGAAATTCATAGTTTCCTCTTATAGGGCTGTAATTCGAATACAGTAAGAATAAAGGCTTACACGTCACATTTATCTTTATTAAACACTGTATAGTACTGTATATACATGTATTTAAAAACATTTTTAGTTTATATAAAAATTATAGCGACAGATTTTTCTAATGTTGAAAATAGATACACAGTAGGTCGGGTATATGTAACTGCTGCACGGGTTCATGGAAAATTTATTATATAATTAGACTCGTCTGAATTTCCAAACAATAGCCTTTTAACTTTATATTAATCAGGCATGTCATTCAAACCGAGATTAAGAAACGTCAGTTTTCACTCGGGCAATTTTATACGATTCAAGAAACGTTGATATATTTTATTAACAATAATTATATGGGACACACGTTTAATAATAAAAAAATTATTGAAAATGCAAAATATTGTATAGGTATCTAAACAATAATTTCGTTATTATTATTTTGTTTAGTCAGAAAATTAAAACATCAATATATTTATTATTTATTTATTATTATTATCTATTAGTGTTATATTTAAAGTAATATACTTGTAAAAACTTTTTAATAGAATGAATTTTAAATTACGTAATATAAAATACATTTAATTTAAAAATGCAAACTGAAAAAAAACTTATTGTTTAACATTATTGCTTTAAAATAATTTAAAATAATAATAAAACAAATACAGACACTGGTTAGAAATTACTATTTTTTTAAACTCAACTTATATTCAAATTGATACAATCCACATATTAATTTTAACTAAAAAATATTTTGTTTCTTTATTAATTTCTTATAAAAAATTAAATTGATATCAATTGATCATTATTAATATATATATAATTAAATAATATTATATATTATAAAAAAAAAGTGATATTAATTAATATATTAACAAGTAATTCTTGAAACCTTTAAGATTTATAAGATATAATACAATAACTAGTACTTTTAAATTTATATTACAAAATATTAAGTTCAATTTCAAATAAAAACTATTGAATTGACTTAATATAATATTTGGCGTTATGATCTGTTATAACAATTGTTTTCTATATAAAATTATTTCTTATACTAATTTAATAAGTATTAGGATTGTAATACTATAAGAAAATAATATAACATCTGCTTTCAATTAAATAATTTAATAATTATTTTTATATATTACCCAATGTTTATTTTTGCAAAATTATTAAAAAATTTATATTTTAATTCAATAATAAATTACTTTAACAGTTACCTATTTCAAAAAGACAATTAAAATAATAATAATTATCATAATTATATAATTATATATAATAAAATTATAATATAAATTTCTTAAATATTTTTGAATAGTTTTAAAAAAATAAAAATTAAATAATTAGTTTAATTGCAAATAATACAATTCCAGAAAGGAATATTTATAAAGTTTTGTTTGTCAAATATAATATTAATCTAGAAAAAATTATAAAATATAATTATATATTATTATTATTGCATCATATATCCTAAAAACACAAAATAATATTAATAATATATAGCAAAAATATAATTATAAAAGGTTCAAACAATTTGTTTAATAACTTATTTTAACTCCAATAGTTTATTTTTTCTTAATTGTTTTTTATATATCTTTAATTTAAATAATTATAATATAAATAATAAAAACAATAATAAAAAATTAATAAAAATAAACAAAAAATAATACAAATATATATATATTCAATAAAAAAAATAATTAATAAATTGCAAATACTATTAAAAATATTTTAATTAATATATTATTTTAAAAAATATATTATTATTAAAAGAAAAATATAATAAATATAATTTATTAAAAAAAATTAAAAAAAGATTTTTAATTAAATTAATTATATACAAATTAATTATTTTTAATATACTAACTTAAGATTAATAAAAAAAATTTTTTTATATACTGTATAAATAAATATATATATTGTATATATTCTTTTTTTTTTTTTTTTTTTTTTTAATTCCGCAATCAGGTTGGTATTGTTTATTTATTAAATCATAAAGAACCATTACACGCACGAGAATTATATATATTCTCTTTCTTATCTTTTTCTTTTTTTTTAATATACTTTTTTTCTTTTTATTTTATTTTCTTTTTCTATTAAAATTAGATTATTTTTTTTTTTGGATTTTTCTTTTTTAGATTTTTTTTTTCTTTCAAAATATTAACTTCCTTTTTATTATTTTTTTAATTAATTAATTTTATTTTTTTAAAAACTATTTTAAAAAGTAATAATTACTTTTAAGATATGAACTTTAAAATAATTTATTTATTTTTTTTTTTTAAAAAAAATAAATAATTCACTTTTTCAAAAAATTGTCTTAATCATTATTTTTAAATCTAATATTATTTATTTGTTAATAATTATCGATAAAAAAATTTAACTTAAATTTTATTTATAAAATATATTTTTTTTAATGTTAAGGTGAAACGTGTCTCATGATCTTTATTAATATTATAATTTATTATTATTACATAATTAATTTTTAAGATATGAGATATATGGACAGAGTAAACTATATATATATTAGTCTATCATCTATTGTAGTAGATATATTTCTAAATAAAAAACCCTTAAGCAGGGAAAAATAAAAAAGGAACTATTTACAATATTAATATATATAAAGAAAAGGGCAAGATCACTTTAAGTAAAAGAATATATCAGTGTAATAATTTGAAGGAAAGAATATGTAGGCATAAAATCACTATATACATTAAGTTTAAAGTCAGAGTTAATTACTCCTCGAAACCATATATAGTTAAATGTGTTTTAAATGAAATAGTTGTAGAGAGATAATGTGTATTAAAGTTTGAAGACATATTATCTTTGAATCAATAATTCCTTCTATAGAGCACAAACCAAATGTGTCTACTTAGGTTACCACTTTTTTTTCAATAGCTGGACATGACTCTAGTAGCAATAGAGAAGCACTGGCATAAGTTATCAGATTATGGAGTACAACTCTCTAATATTTCACTTCTACTTACAATAAAAGTACTTTACTTTTATTCACATTGATTAGGCTTTAGTTGCCTTTTTTCTTTAACAGTAGCATTGCTACTTGTGGGATGCAACTCCATTGTTGAAATAATATAAGTTGGTTATGTGATTAATAAAAAAGTGTTGTGATTGGAATATATATAAGTTGGATAACTAGAGCCCAGCTCCAATTGATTGTTATATTGTTTGAATATGTGTTAGGTGTATGGTTCCAAAAATTAGAATTGAATAGAATCAAACAGAATCGCATGAGGTTCAGAACACTATTAAAAATAATGATAGGGTATACCCCATTTATTAAATTTAATATAAACTTGAGAATCAAATACAGAATCGAAAAGAATCGTTAGGATTCTTAATTAGGTAAAGATTACTAGAATCTGTGCAGGGTACAAGTCATGTGCTTGCTCAATCCAGTAGGTTGTCAATTGGTTATTTGTTATTATTATTATTGTTATTGTTATTGTTATTGTTGTTATTGCATATGAGAATTTTATTGGAGAACTGATTGTAAACAAGTTTAAACAGGTTTGATATTATTGTTAAGAAGTGAAGATATTTTATTGGTTGTTTGTTAAGTATAGATCTTTGGATGGAGTGAAATTGATTACGGGAGGGTTTTTTTTTTGAGTGAGTTTGAAAAAATTGTAGAATAGTGAAGAAGTGACATATAATATTGTTTTTAGATAGAGAAGAAAAATAATAAATTTTCAAAGGTTGTGTTGAGACAAACATTAAACCCAGTAACTTTGTTTGAATGTGTTGTTAGAATTAAATTTATGTTATAGAGAAAGAAAAGTAAGAAGAAAAATGGTTATCATGATCATAGAGGGGGGAGGTACTTAAAGAAAAAAAATTAGGAAGAAAGGCTGCCACGGGCCTTTTTCCATGTAACCAAGAGCTAAAGAAGACTCCCAACTTGCTTAAATCTTGACCAGAGGTCCCATCCCAATGTAACAGTGTTTCTTAAAGTCTTTATGTCCTTTAGGTTTAAAGCTTATTTGCCTTAAAAGATAAAGAGAGGAAGATGCTTCTTGAGAGAAGATTTCCTAAAAAGGAAATTTTCAAAAAATTAGCAGTAAGCGGGTGAGAGTTTTTTTTTATTTATAAAATACTTATATTATATTTAAAATATAATATATTAAATTTTCTTTATAATTTAAAAACCAATTTGTATAAAGTAACTGTAATACCTTTATACAAAAAAATATTCTAAAACAAAATATCTTTAATATTATTTTGCTTGCTATATACTGTATCAAGTTATATTTGAAAGACAAGTATATCAATCCTAATTTATAACTTAAAAACAAATCTTATAAACTGGTTACAGTATATTTATATAATTAAGTATTTATTTTTTTCTAATAAATTAAATATTATTTAAAACTATAATATAAAATTTAAATTCTTTTTACTATATTTTTCAAGTAACATTAAAATGTATAAGAATATAATTATTAAATTTTATATTTAACTTTTTTAGCAAAAAAAAGATATATATTATATTAATAAAATTATAATTTTATAATTATAACTCGAAAATTGAAATGTTTTAATATAAAACTCTTTCCCACAAATCTCAAAATTCCTAAAAATTTCCTTTTTTAGTAATACACCCAAAACACTCAAAGAAACACTTAAAGAAGACACCAAGAGAAAAACTTCA